ATGAGAAAGTTCTCATTATTTGTTAATTTGCCCCTCCTGCCCTCCCTTGTTACCCTGCCCATTTCTTTCTCACTGAAATACAATACAAAACGAGAATTAAAGCTTAGAGACTGCACTAAACTGTGCACTACAACATAAAATCGGTAACACTTTACATTAAGGTCCCCTTTATAAAGGGTTTATAAAGGTGTAGCGAATCAGTTCAAAGGGGAAATATGAATAATTAATCATAACTAGTTATAATTAATTATAATTATTTAGATCCGCTGTAAGCATTCATTTGACCTCTCAGTGTCAACTACACACACACACACACACATACAGTTGGTATAGGAAAAGGGTTAAAGCTTAGGCAGTAAAAAGAAGACAAATAAAAACATGAAGCTATGGTACCATTTTGATATTCAGCAGATCTACAGCCTGAAGGAAACATCAGTTTCTTAGTTCAAACACACCTTTGTAAAAAGGTGCAAATGATACTTAATGTATCAATTAATAAGACTAAGTTTGATACTTGCACATCTTGTCTGTCTGAAAGAGAGTCCTAATGCAATCTGAAGGCTTAAGTTGATCTTTGCTGAAGTTGGTTGATGAAAAAGAACCAGTTTCTCAGCTAACTGTGAGGTGACACTGCAGAGTATATTTTTCAAGTGTTTATATGTGTAATTGCTTTGCTAGTTGAATTAATGTGTTACCATACAAATAAATAACCGCTCTGGCGCTCCCGCGGACGGTTCGATCGCGTGCAAGGTAACGTTACTGCTAGTGTGGATGAACAAATACTGAAAATGCTATGTTCCAGTGTGCTGTAAAAGAAAAGATTAATCTTTTTGTTTCAAGTTGAAAGTTGTTTACTGATGTAGTGCAACAACAATACAATTTATTTCACCAGAAAATTCTAACTTTTTCTGTGTGAGCAATAATAATCAATCAATCAATCAATTATTATTGTGTCCACTTTACATTAAAGTTAACTTTGACTGGTTACTAATGTTTAATATGCATTAATAAATGGTTCACAGGAGTTCACTCTACATTAAGGTTCACTTTCACATGTTATTAAAGTTTGTAACTCATTAATAAATGGTTCACAGGTGTTCACTTTACATTAAGGTTCGCTTTCACATGTTACTAACGTTTGTAACTCATTAATAAATGGTTCACAGGTGTTCACTTTACATTAAGGTTCGCTTTCACATGTTACTAACGTTTGTAACTCATTAATAAATGGTTCACAGGTGTTCACTTTACATTAAGGTTCGCTTTCACATGTTACTAACGTTTGTAACTCATTAATAAATGGTTCACAGGTGTTCACTTTACATTAAGGTTCGCTTTCACATGTTACTAACGTTTGTAACTCATTAATAAATGGTTCACAGGTGTTCACTTTACATTAAGGTTCACATTTAAAGGTTACTAGCGTTTGTAACTTATTAATAAATGGTTCACAGGTGATCACTTAACATTAAGGTTCACTTTCACAGGTTACTAACATTTATAGCTCATTAATAACCT